ATTTTCTGTGATACTCTTCAAAAGTGTGAATGATAGATTTGTTGGCTTCTCTCTTAAATCAAGTATACGCTGCAGGACCTCAAGATCCATGTATCTGCTGTGCAACCCATTTCAGAATGTGCAGTTTCAACACTAACAAAAAAAGTTTGTTCCTACTAGAGCACCATTCCATGGAGAACTCACGTTTGACTAGATCGCTAGTACCTTTCTATAGCAGCATATGGTAGTTGTCCAAGAAAGTTGTCTGCATTAAATCACTGAAGCGCCAACAAATATTTAGCACGAACCGGAACTGATACACATTGTCCACTGATGTAATAAAACCCTGCATCAAATGCAAAATAAACGAAATTATTGTAAGATTTGTACCAAAGTCGATACACACATGACATAATGCCTGCAAAGTTGAGATAACAAATATGGCTACAGTGTTTAAAAGCCTAATTTGATGTAGTGCTAAAAATGCCCTTCTGCCCTTTTTCCACGGAATTAAAAAAGAATGCACAGCTCAGGAAGACCCCAAAGGAAACACTAGTCTACATAATTTGCAGCATGTGGAAGCTCCCGGGGATTAATTAATTAATCTTGCATATTTTTTGCCTGCCTGTGCAAAATGGCAGACAAGCAGCAGCAGCGGATCTGGATACACCGTCGCCTCCTGAAACGCGCACACACGCACGGGCAGAAGGAAGAAACCGGTTTTGCTGCAGGGCCGGGGCATAGGTTGCTGACGAAGAAAGAAGCAGAGTAGGCCGTGAAGAGGATCAGAAGAAGAAGCAGAGTACACTTGAGTGGTCAGAGCAGATCTTGAGTGGTGAGAGTACACTTGAGATCAGATCTGGAGGGATGGCGTGAGGTGGTGGAGGGAAACGCAAAGCAGGGGAGATTGATGGAAACGCCAGCTCCTGCTCCTGCAGCAGCTTGAGGTTTGGCTTCCGTAAGTTTAAGATCTGGGCGAGACGCTTTACTGCTGTCCGACCGCCTGAGGCTGCATCGATCGAGAAGACAACGGCCATGCCGACGGCGGCGACCCTAGAACGTAGTATCTACTCTGGATCTGGATTTGCAGAGGAAGAGGGAGGCCACCTGACCTTCCTCTCCGGCGAGGGGAGGCGACAAGAGCAGCCAGAGGCCATGGAGTAACAGTACGACCTCTCAGTTTACCAAAGCACCGATCGACAGCTTGAAGATAACAATCAATCAATCAGCTGCATAAAGGGACAGCACTGACCTTGAGACCTTGAGAGAGAGGAGACGTTGATAGATCGATGACGAGAGAAACGAGCTGAATGAATGGTGCTCTCAGTCTCTGGTCTGGTAGGTGAGGGTGAGGTGGGTGGGTAATATACAAAGTTGACATGACTTGACTCGAGGCTGGTAGAGTAATACAAACACATTAGTAGTACTGGTTAATTGAGCTCAGTATGGAATAGTTTAACAAGGTAAACGAGTATTTACAATCGGCGGCCAGTCACCCCCGCTCTCCACGCGCGACACACGTCCTTTGCTTTTTCGCTCCACTTCTTCTTATCCTCAACCCCTCGCTCATACCACTGGACATCTTATGGTGTTCCGTGGTCAGGTACTACTCCAACAATAATCATCTATAGTGCCTGCATAATCTCTCCGACTTGCCTTCGTTTTTCACACAGATAAGTACTGTGCTTCTCTGTCTTTCCTTCTACTCCCTCCGTAAACCAATATAAGAGCACTTAGGTTGCTAGTAGTGATCTAAACGCTCTTATATTAGTTTACAGAGGGAGTACATGTCAGAGGAGCCGGCTTCAAGAGAGCACTAGCAATACTGAGGAATCTTGAGGAACTCCATCCATGTTGCAGTAACTTGGTCATTTAAGAAAAAAGGGTTTCCCCCAGCTTTGTATTACAAAGCAACCAGTAACTTGGTCATTTTCGAGGGTTCCGATTTGGACCAGTCAGCACCAAAAGCTCTTGAAGTTGAGAATTTCTGTTGAGAAGCTCATGCAGGAGGACATTGATTTGTTCGCATTGTTAACTAGGCGAAGTATCAAGTGAAAACTCTTGATCAGTAAAAACTGAAAACTTTCATCCTAGCCCATCGGATCGAGGACGTACAGCAGGGATCGGAGGTGGGAATATGGCCATCCACTTAACAATTGTTTTACACATAACCCCCCTTGCTTACGTTTTGTCTTGTGAAAAATTTAGCGAACAAGAAAAAAAAAGAAAAACGAATCTCGACCCAGGCGAGGGCGAGACTTGGCGGCGGCGACTGGACTGCGACTTGGAGGCCGGCGCCGCTCCCCTAGCGACGGCGACTCGGAGGCCACGATGGAGGCACGACGCGACCGCGATGCCCCAGGCGATCTGGCGCGCGCTGGCGGCGGCACCGACGGTATCCCCACCCAACGGCGACGAGACGGCCACCGAGATGACCCTGGCCACGGCGATGTCCACGACCCAGTGACCTGGCGCTGGCCCAGGCGAGGGAGACCCAGTGGCGGCGGCGCTGCCTCCATGCGACGGCGACCCGGCAACTTGCTTGCCCTCTGAAGCTGTTGTTTTGCTGTACATTAAAATCGTTGGTGTTCTTGCTGTAGCTGACTGAATGGTGATGTATAGATAAGATAAATCTTTGTTGTTTTGCTTCACCTGAAGTGAAAGTGAAAGTGGGTGTTCAAAAAACACGTGAGTCGATCTACATACAGAAACATTTGCTCTTGCTACGGCTGTTGTTTTGCTATGCACGTCGATTTGGATGTACATTCACGTATGAAACTGTTGCTACATACAGAAATATTTGGATGTACAAACAACAGCTTCAAATATACAAGAAATATTTGCTCTTTTGCTACTGCTGTACATACTGAATTTGCAGATATACAGAATGAATGTGAATTGGCTGCAGAAATATTCCCTTGTTAAAAGTGAGGCATGTACTGGTGATTTAACATCTTTTGTCTTGCTAATTTCAGAATTCCGTAAGCCACATGTGCTAAAACCAACAGGATGCAACGTTAACGAATGAACCTCCTGTGCCTTATTATCCTGTCTAAGTCTAACTCTTTTTAGTAAAAGCGAACAGTTGCCAGCCAAAAGATAGCAGCAGGAGGAGTAGGCAGGGGGATCATGGTAAGCTCAATGCCCTCTGTTATCTACAAACCCTTCCCACACTTGACATAACCAGGCGATGATTTCAACATCACTTGTACACAGTAAACTGGAGCAAACAACTTGCCATGCGAAATAATATTCTTGCATCGCGAAACAAAATTCCACTCTGGCCATTTTGATGAATCTTCAGACATAAATATTCAGAAATACAATATTCAGACATAAATATTCAACAGAACTACAATATTTGGAAATAAAATAATAATCTCCTAGGAAATATAA